AATTGTTTTGCCATATCTTTTGCACACATCTTGTGGCATACTTTCGCGAGCAGCGCCTAAAAGATTTAGTGAAAAAGCTCTTTGAAACGTACAAAAATCTTTATTACAATTTGCAATGCACTTAGGTAGTAAAATGTAAAATAAGGGACAAAAACAAAATATATATTAACCGAAATTTTTAAACAATATGCAACAAAATATGGTAAGAAACTGCTTAATATGGCAAATTTCGAGCTGAATATCGCACCTTTGGCAAACAGTTTTTTGGCTGACTTTGGTTTAGAATTTAATCAGTGCAAATTAAATGCTAAGCTCTAAATCAAAACTAAACTACTATTCGAAGAGTTTGCACTGTAGGTAAACGTTGTTTGTCATGGTTTTATAAATATAGAAATATGAAATAGTATTGACTTCGTGTTCCAGTCCTTGTGATGTACAGGTCATGTTTTTCGCTTTTTAGGTGTTTTCTTTCTTCTTTTTTTGGTATTCAGGTTCAACGAGTAGAAGTTCTCCTCTTCAAGCGTTCACATAAATATAGAGATTTAATAGATGGCCATTCGTAAGCCCAAATTTCTGATGACTTCGGTAGATTGTCGATGTGACTTTTCGATTATTTCCGTTTTTGGTTAACTTAGGAGGCAGTTAGTCCTGCTTCTCCTCTTTGGCGGACATGAAGAGCTTCTGGCAAGTGAAGGTCAGCGAGTCTACAAAGGGAAAACCATATAAATGTCGGACAATGCCACACATTGGGGTTAATGCGAAGGAATACTCACCAATCGTGCGCTGCACCCAGTTCGGCTTATTCTTCCACACGACGCCCACGTAGTAGAAGGGTATGCCAATTATTGTGATTAATACCCCCATGCCGACCTCATAGGGCGCCACATAGATGGGCACGACGACTAGAAAGGCGCAAACGATGACAAATAGGGCGGGTATCCACAAAGCGACCTGTCACAGCAATAACAATAGATTATACTAAATAATATGCATACGGATCAGTGGTGCCAAAAAAGCTAGTCTTTAGATTAAATCCTATTTTAAGTTATAAATTACATTGTTTCTATAAAAATTATGTTCACTTAACTATGTCAATAAATTCTCATTTTAATTTATTTAAAAAGCAAGAAAATTAAATATTTGATAAGATGGAATTTAAATAGTAAGATTACCTACTGGAATTTTATAGATTTAAAATTTACCAAATTATTTTTCGAAAATAAGACTTACATTATACACAGAAAGAAAAATGGTAATGGTCAATTTGATATTTTTTAAAGATCAAGCTATTCATATCATTTTGATATGAATAAAGATTATGTCAATCTTTTTTTTATATTATTTGCTCAAAAAATACTAAAATTGGTGTTTTTTATGATATGATAAAATATCAACTTAATATGTTTGAATCTTAAATTTGACATAAATCATATCGGCTTTTTATTGATATGAAATAAGGTAAAACTAACCCTATTTCATATCGGTTTTTTTTTCTGTGTAGTCATAAGTTCATAAAAGCACCTTAACTTGGCTACAGAATATCTTAGTTGGCAGCACTGACTAAGCTAAACTCACTTTAATTGGCCGCTCCATGCAGGGACGTGTGTAGCGGAAATACAGAACCGCCGACACCGACAGCATTATAAAGAACGATTCCACAATGCTGGCGTAGGTGATCAGCACATACACGTCGCTAACCACCAGCATCACAATGGAGAGAAAGCACTGCCGGGAGAGGAACACAGAGCCAAATCAATTAGGGATTAATTACATAATATCATTTGTGCGCTAATTGAGGGGCGCAGCTCACCAGAAAAACGAGCGACGGCAGTGGCGTGTAGCTCTTTACGCTGATGTGCGACAAAATCGCCGGCATGTGTCCATTGCGGGCGCCCACGAAGCAAATGCGGGAGGAGGTCATGATGTGGACGGACAGGCCGCCAAAGGCAGAGATGGCCACCATGACGGGTATGACCAATGAAAAGGCGCCGAGAATCTTATCGCCGAATGTCTGTGGAGAGAGGAGAACAATTAGAATTCATCGACAAGCCGCTCTGGTTTAATTAAGCCCATTTGCGATTCCGATCAAATAATTTAACTTTTCTACAATCTATCACATTTTTTGCAATTTTAAATTAGGTAGGGGAACATTTTTAGACTACACCTTTACCCTCCTCTTTTGGTATAAAAAAAGTTTAAAGGATATTTTATACAAAATTAACTAGACTCAAAAAAACAAAATCGAAGAATTTCCTTAAAATCTAGAAAATTCTTTTTTGAATTTTCTTCATCTAGAAAGGTTTTCTATATTCAAAGGCACATTTTCTAAAAACAAGAAATTATTTTTCTATTTTTAAAGGTAGGCCGATTTAATGGCGAGACCTCTAAAATTTAGAAATTAAATTTTATGAGAGTAGGTTTTAAATAAATCAACTCAAACTAAAATGTCAAGAACCGCCTTATCTGATCGGAATGCAAATAGGAACAGGGTCCCTGGATTCTCACCACTGCAATGGCATTCGAGGCGATCATCTCGGAGGGCGACAGCACGGCCAGATAAGCCACATTGGCCAGCACATAAATGCCGGTGACCAGAGGCAGTGAGATGTAAATGGCGCGCGGCAGATTGCGATATGGATCCCGTAGTTCCTCCGTCATGAAGTTCAAGTAATTCCAGCCGGCATACGAAAAGATGCCGGAATAGAAGGCCACCGACATCTTGCCGGGATCAGTCTCTGTGTCATCGAATGGCCTGGTGAAGTTCTCCACATTGCCCATTAGCATCCAGACCAGGCCCACAATGATGATCATGACCAGGGCGGCGATCTTGGTGAACATGATGATGTTCTGCATCTTGGTGGTCACCTTCATGTAGTACGAATTCAGGTAGGTGAGGAAGCAGATGGTAATCCCCGCCAGCAGTTGGAGGGCAATCTTGGGAATGTGGCAGGCTCCGCCGAAAAAGGGTTCCAGCACATAGGAGGCAAAGGTCAGGCCCATAATGGCATTGGTCGTGGGTCTGCAAGAGATAAGAGTGGAAGTAATCAGTGGAAAATTTACGCAGACTGCATTCAGACATATTCCCTGCTGATTATCTCCGCATGCAAAAGTGGAAAAGCAGATATTCACGCTTATCGCCGATCCAAAAATGGCAAAAATAGGTGTCAATAAAACGCTCAATGCAGAACTGCCCCAATAAATACATTTATGGAGTCTAGATTATTCGATAAGGCTCGTTTCACTTTCTATATAATATACAACCTAAGGCTTAACCTTGAAAAACCGGCTGCAGCCAAACCAATATTTTATGTTTTTTAATCTAGGAAAGTTTTTGAACTTGACCCTGTCTGAGTCTAAAATTATGGTTAGTAGTATTTTAGTTAGTTCTTTAAAAAAAACACAAAATTTTAAAGTAATTGTTAATGAAATATAGAATAACACTTTTTAATTCGCTGAAAATGTAAATTGAAAATCGGAATGACCTCTAAATGATGTTCTATTGCTATCAGTTTTTTTGTGAGGTTTATTTGTAATTCGAAATCGATTAAAGCAACTAATTTGATGCCATGTTTATGCTTTCGAAGGAACTATAGATAAGGAAACTTTAGCGATAACATATACAAAGTTTTTTAAACAAAAATGACCAGTAAGACTCACACGAATATCATCATGGCATCCCAGAGATACAGAAACGCCGGCAGCGATCCGTAGGCCTCGAAGATATAGGCGTAATCCCCGCCAGATTTGGGTATGGCGGTGCCCAGTTCCGCATAGCACAGGGCGCCTATCATGGACAGCAATCCGCAGAGAACCCAGATGACCAACGAAGCGCCCACCGATTCCACTTCCCGAATGACGCCTTTCGGGGATACAAAAATACCGGATCCAAAGATAATGCCCAGGATAATGGCCACACCTTCCAGGAGGCCCAGCTGTTTCTTGATCACAACCCTGCTGCTGTCCGATTCGGCGGATCCCTCGCGATTTTGAGCGGGTTTCTCGGTGGGACTTGCCGCCGTTTGGCCTATGCTGGAGGGGGGATTTCCGGAACTGGGGGTCAGTAGGACCATTTCGCTGGACGGCGACTGCAGCTCATCGACGGCGGGCATGGTGGCTATATATCCAGGAGCTATTACTATTATTATTATTCTCCCGCTGGCTATGTGACACAATCTTCGCACGCGATGGTCGAAAACGAACTGTAACGGTTTCTTTGGCCGTTGTCCCGTTAATTGATTAAACGAGGCGCGAGTGTGTGTTGGTGGGTGTGCCTTCGTGTGTGTATGTTTATTAATGTGTTTTTTCCCTACAATTGTATTCGGCTTATCTGCTCCTGCTCTTCCTCTTCTTCTTGGCCGCCGGTTATCGTCACTTTTGTTTTGCTCCGGCCTTCGCCTGCTGCCGTCTCGCTCGCACCTTCACCACCCCCCTGAAGATGAGCCTTTTCGCACATAAAACTAGCGATTTGAACGAAAATTCACACTCTGTCGCGCGGAATTCGGTTAATGGGTCTGGTAGATAAGTGCAGACATCGAGGTAACCGCCGAATTATGCAAACTTTGCGGTTTAATTGTGGAATTGGCACAGCTTGTCAAAGGTTTTCAACCCCACGTTTTCTTTTCGAGCATCTTAAAAGTATGACCATTCCAGGCTTGCTGTAAAATGCCACATCTAACGGGGGCACTTTTTTGTTGGAAACAGGGTGTCTATTTTCGATGCTCTTATTTTAAGGGTCGTTTTCTCTTCCGCATGTTAAATTTAAAGTAGCGATAAAACCTTGAGAACGTATGGGAATTTATGGTTTAAAGTGTACTTTAACTTTAACCAATCTTATGTTTTAGTCTACATAAACATTTTTATTAAGATTTATAAAGTCTTGTCCGTAATTTACAATTTTCTTTTGTGTATCATGCCTTTAATGTTCTATATTTATAAAATTTAAGTAATTCGTTGGGTCTGAAGATGCATATGGGCCTTCCCTTCCATATCCAACAAATACAGTTCTAAATATAAAATGATGGCTCGCCTACTTCTTGTCCTTGGCCTGCAGCTTGGAGTGGATCATGTCCTTGAACTGCGACAGGATCTTGTTCTCGCGCTTCTGCCGCTCCTCCTTGCTGAACATGGCCAGCGCCCGCTTCTCGTCGGCGGAGTACAGCTGGTTCTCCTTGCGGATACGCACCGCCTCCATGCGACGATGCCGGCTGCCGCTCATCACGTAGCCAACGGACTCAAAGTTGGCGATTTCGTCGGAGGTTAGGCCGATCTCACCGCGGCGAGGAATGCGCTTGCCCTCGGCGATGTAGGCCGCCATGGCGGCACCTTCTCCCGGCAGCAGGGCCTTGCCGAAATCCTTTTGATTCAGGCTGCCACCCGAACGCAGCGAAGGACCCACATCCTCGTCGTTGTGGGAGGCGCTATCCTTGGCTTTTGACCTGCTGCCACTGGAGGAGGAGCTGTTCTTGGACTTTTCAGCCTCTGATTTCCGCTTCTTTTTCTTCTTCTTGGACTTTTTGTCCTTTTTGCTGACCGATGACTTCTTCTTTTTGGGTTTCTTGACACCCTCGGCAGTCTTTTCCAGCCAAACATCTTCGTCCTCGGACTCGTCTTCGCTTTCGGAGCTGGAACTGGAGCTGCTGGAGTCATCGGAGCTGTCCTCGCTGCTGGAGGAGCTGGAGGAGGAGTCCTCCGAGGAGCTCGAATCCTTTTTGCTCTTTTTCTTCTTCGATTTCTTGGACTTTTTCTTGGATTTCTTGTCGGCTTTCTTGTGTTTGCTCTTGCCCTTTTTCTTTTTCTTCTTGGGTCCCACGTAGGAGCCCTTCACCAGCTCCACGTCGTCGCTTTCTGGCCGGGATGGGCTCTTGCCCCAGACATCAGGGACGCCCTCTTCGCCAATGCGAACTCTCTGGTTCCGGCGGGCATTTACCGCCTTGGAATCGCCTTGGGAGGCTCCTCCTCTGCCTCTGTGCTGTGATCTTGACGAGGGCTCCGCTGGGTCATTGATGAAGCTGCCCTCGGGCGCCCTTCCACGGAAGGGATTCTGTCGCCTGTCGTTGTTTTCGTGGAATCGATCGTTGGGCCAGCGTTCCACGGATTTTGGGCGGGATTTGTGGCTTCTGACGGGGCTCCTGGAGGAGCTGGAGCTTCCGCTGCTGCTGGCGGAGCTGCTGGAGGATGAGGAGCGGCTCCGGCGGCGGCGTTCCTTTTCCCTGGAGCGACGCGAATTGCGATTTGAAGTCCTTTCCCTGTGCAGCTCCCTCTCCCGGTCTCTTTCCCTCTCCCGGGAGTCGGATCTTCTGGGCTGCGCCTTGTGGTTATTCCGCCTCTCCGAGCGGGAACGGTGTCCGGAGACGGATCTGCGGCGCTCCCTCTGCCGGCTGCGGCTCCTGCTGCGTGAACGCATGGCGAAAATACAATTTTTCAGCAATTTCACCGGAAAATGAAAACAAACGTTGGTTCACGGGTCAATCGATAGTCGGGTAATCGATAGTGGCCTCGCATCGATAGGCAACAGCTGATCGAGGGATTTTCTCAACGGTCACATTAAAAATTTGCCAATTTTTTTGCTCGCCAAAATAAAAATAAAGTTTATTTAACGGCAAAAATGCTGTAATAAAAATAGAGAATATATAAAAAAGGGTCAAGAATGGCGCGCATCACTTGGAGAGGTCACTCCACTCAGGAGTCGCTGTAAGCTTGTAAACACCCACTTTCCAATTGGAACACTAATTTGCAATGGTTTTGTTTATTATTTACTCAATTTAACAGCGCTTTTTGCCGGCTACGTTGGTCTTATATGAAACACTGCTGGCACTCATTGACCTTTAATGCCCATATGAACTCCTCCTACGCCTCCGATGTCTGTTTGACCCCCATCTTTTGGTTCGTGGACAACTACACTCACTGCCTGGGACCGGTAACACTATGCTACATAAAACTTGTTTTTTAGTCGTAGGGAAACCTACTTTTTCTCAAGTTATTATGATCCAATATCGTACAATTTTTTTTTAAATTATTTTGATTTTATATTGTTTTAGACCGGTAACACTATGCTACATAAAACAAGTTTTTTAGACGTAGAGAAACCTATTTTTTTTCAAATTATTGTTATCCAATATTGTACAATTTTTTTTATTTATTATGATATATTGTAAAATTTTTAATTTATTTAATTTTTCTTATTTTTAAATTTAATTTTTTTATCATTTTATTTTTGAAATTTACTTTTAATATTTATTTACTCATTAATTAATACATACATATATTCTCCCTTTCAGTTCTTTGTGGTTGGAGTGGCTGCCTTGACCACTTCAGTCGTTAGTATTGCCTACTGGATTGGTTTGCCCTTTTGGTGGGCCAAAAGTCAGTTGGCCACCTATATTCTGCTCGTCGTGGGCAATTGGCTGCTGCTCAATGTGGTTTTCCACTACATTATGGCTGTGATCACGCCGGCAGGTCATCCGCCGGAAGGCGTTTCTCTGGTGGAAGCGGTCAGTATGTGCGGCAAGTGCATAGCCCCCAAACCACCAAGGACTCATCACTGTTCCGTCTGCAATCGCTGCATCCTCAAGATGGATCACCACTGCCGTGAGTATTAGAACTCTATAAAGTTTTTTTCTAATAAACATATGTAAATTTATCTATAGCTTGGCTCAACAACTGCGTGGGTTATGGCAATCATCGTTACTTCTTCCTCTACATGATGTACACCACTCTGGGCTGCCTGTTTCTCATTCTGTTTGGTCTGGAGATTGGCCACAAATACCTGTGGCTCGATAATGGCGAAACCTGGACGGAGATTGAGCCGCTGGAGGGGCAGCCAGTCAAGTTTAACCTCAGCGGGCACATCATTCCTGTGGTAACTCAGTTATTCCATGATTATCCAGCACATATATTAATAAAGATAATTTTTCAGACCCATCCCCATGAGTACGATGAGTTCATGGTGCCGCCTGCAATACACAATCTTCCCACGCCCCTCGTGGATACGGATGCACCGTCGCCTGGTCGACGACGAGCCCTGTGGTTCATGGCCTTCACAAATGTGTCCGTGGTCTTGGCTCTTGGTAGCCTCTCCATCTGGCACGCCAAGCTTATCACTCGCGGAGAGACGAGTGTGGAGGCCCACATCAACGAAGCGGAGAGAAAACGGCTACTGCAGCAGCAACGCATCTACATCAATCCCTATAACTTTGGCACCAAAAAGAACTGGAAACTGTTTTTGGGTCTGGTGCGAGGTAGATCCTTCTGGCGAACCGTTCTACTGCCCTCCTGGCACAAACCCGAGGGCACTGGTCTCAGTTTTCACACCGTAAACGATTCGCCCTTCGAGGATGAGTGGCCATAGTGGAAGCTATTGTGATGTTTAAAAGTCTCTCTAAAGATTAATAGTTTAATTTTAAGCTCAAAGTAACTAGAATGTCTGCGTCAGCTGCTTGTTTTTAGTAAAATGTAGTGTAGTAATTACTCCAAGATTCCAAAGTTAACTCAAAAGCCATAGGGAATATTTAAATCCACTAGCTATAAATGACTTCACGTGAAAATGCAATGGCATGTACTTTGTTTCCATAGCGACTAAGAGCACAAGGACGCTTTTTATACATACTATACCTTAATAAAATCCAGTAAACAAAACCTTTTTTGTGTTGCCCCTGGCAGCTTGTGCCGGTATGGCAACTTGTTGCCAGGACAAGGTTAAGGCTTTGAGTTTGTTCAATAAGTTTTAGGAGAAAGTAAAACTCAAGGATGTCGAAGGCTTCGGGATCAGAAGATGAGCCACTGGTGCCAGATGATTTTGATGATGATTTCTACAAGGAGCTATGCGAGAAAATACCCGAGGTATTGTGTTAACAAATCTTTCATCCTTACAATATTAATTAATATTTTTATTTACAGGCCACCAAAGCTCTGCGGCAAAAGGATACTCCCAATAATGCGGATAATGTCCAGAGGCTGCTCATTTGTGGCAGTCGCTACAAAAGCGATTTGCGTATAGAGAAGGAACGATCGCAGGAACTGCGAAAGGAGATTGAAAGCCTCGAAGCGCGTTTGGAGAATGCGGCTCGAGTGACCAAAATGGACATGGCCACCATTGAGGAGCTCCGAGGAGTCATAGGTGACTAAAAACAAAACAATTAATTATATAAACTGGTTTAAATGGTAAATTACCTTTCCAGAGGGAGCTTGGAAGCAAAAGGATGCTGCCCAAATCCGCGAGCAATCCGCCCAGGATGAGGTCCTAAGCCTCCGAGAAAAACTGGACGAATCGGAGCAGATGGTGGCCCATCTCAATGAGAAACGGCTGGCCATGAGCAAGCGTGATGATGGAAAGGAGCGGGAACGTCTCAATGCCGAGATTGCCGATCTCAACAAAAGATTGCAATTGCAACGCACCTATGCCACGGAATTGGACAGCACCATTGAAGGATTGGAGGCCAAGAACAAGGAGTTGCTAAAGCTTCTAGATGTTAGTTATATTATTTTAGCCCCTCTTCGAATCTAATTGATTTATAAATATTTTAAGGAAACCTCCAGCGATGCCTGCAACCTGAAACGTAAAAGCGATGCCCTTTCCAAGGAACTATCAACCATGAAGAGCGACGAGTCGCGATACCAGGAGCAAATATCCCAGATGAAGTCCGCCAACGAGCACTTGACCAAGGTGAAAGTGCGCCAGAACCTGCAGATTCTGTCCCTGAAAACAAACCTAGAGCATCTAAATACCCAGCACAATGCCACCAACAATAAGCTGGCCAAGATCACTGTGGATCTGGAGTACACAGTGCAGGAGAGGGACAAGAATAAGAGGGCACTGAACCAAAGGATCAATCTGCTAAAGGTGCGCGAGGATGAGCTGATTAAGGTGCGCCAGGATAATGGAAAGTTGGCCAAGTCCCAGGAGACGATTGCTCGGAAATATGCGGGTCTAGATGAGTCTAAAAGAGAGGTGGAAACCCAGAACATAAGGCTAAAGTAAGGGATTGTATTTAATAAGATTTATTGTACTATAAACTAAACATTTACAGAACCCAGCTGGGCACTCAGGACAAGGAACTGGAGTCCATGCGCCGTGTGGTCCACCATTTCGAGAAGAACAACGAGAATCTGACCAAGGAGCGGGACTCCCTGCGGCGGGAACTGCAGGCGGAGCACCAACAGCTCGAGCAGAGCAGCGCACTCCACCAGGAGGCGCAGCACGAAGTGCGTGCCCTTAAGGACACCATCAGCACCATGGACACCAAGCTGAAGAAACTCAACGAGGATGCCAACAAGCTGAAGAAGGAGAAGACCAAGAAGCTGGACGAGATTCAGCACTGGATAGACAAGTTGGATGCGCTGCAGAGTAGGGTTTCGAAAATGAATGCTCTATTTTATATATACCCGTTAGTCGTAGAGTAAAAGAGTTTGTCTGTCAGTCTGTATGAACGCTAAGATCACGGAAACTAGAAAAGCTAGAAAGTTGGGATTACCCACTCATATTCGTGGGCTTCCTACGCAGCTCAAGTTTATTTCAGCCGAGCGCCACGCCCCCTCTAACGCCCACAAACGGTTTTAAAATGTGCCTGCCGCCCACATTTTTAAAGATTTCGGAGAAGTATAAATGCAATTTTGTTGTGTATATTTACACCTATCGAAATGTAAAAGAAATGTTTCAAATCGGACCATTCGTTAAAAAGTTATGCCCGATTAAAGTTTTATATCTCTATCTCCCTCGCACTCCCTCTAGCTGAGTATCTGATAGTCGGGACACCAACCCGACTATAGCTTTCTCTCTTGTTTTTAATATTTAAATCTTTCCCAGACGAAATGCACTTGAAGGAGAACTACGAGATCGAGCTGAAACGGACGATCAGCGATTTGGAGGCCAAGTGCTCCAAGTTCCAGCAGCAACATGATGTCCTGGCTGCCGAACGCCAGACCCTTCAACGCAGTGTCCAGTTGGCCGACGAGGAGCGACAGAAGCTGCGTGACCAGTTGGTCAACCTACAGGCGCTTGTCGAGAAGCTCAAGGCCAAAATCGGCTACCGGGATGCCGAGCTGTCCAAGCTGCAGTTGCAGATCGATCGCATGGAGAAGGAGCGCCGCCTTCTGCGCAACGATATCCGCCACGCGCAGCTGGGTCAGCAGCACACCAAGGCGGAGCTGTTGGACAAGCGCAAGGAGAACGATCGGCATGCCAAGTCTCTCCAGGAGGACGAACAAAAGCTGGCCCGGCTGCGCAAGGATGTGGACAACCTGATGAACGAGAAGAATGCCATCAGTGCGGCGCTGACCAAGCGCAACGAGGAGTACGAGCGGCTGAAGCACAGCCAGGAGAACCTCCAAACGGTTTACGATCAGACGCAGAGGCAGTGCAGCCAGTGTCAGGATGATATGCGCTTGATGGGCGTGGAGATAAAGAACCTGCGAACGGAGCGGGATGTCCTGCGGGCGGATAGGGAGAGTGCCGCAGATTTGCGCCAGGAATTGCTCCAGATGCACCGCATGCTCAACCAGGAGCGGATCAAGGCGCGTGCCCTGCAGGATGAGATGGTCACCCCGATGAATGTCCATCGCTGGCGGCTTCTAAGTGGCAAGGATCCAGAGAAGATGGATCTCCTGGGGCGCATTAGTATCCTGCGCAGGCAGCTGTTCCAGCAGAACGTGGCTGCCTTGGAGCAGGAAAGGGCCTTGAACGAAGCCCAGCAGCTTTACGCTGCTTTGAGGGAGTTCATGCTTAAGCTACCCAGCCATAAAGTTCGAGCGGAGCTCAATAGTGTTAAGGTGAGTCAGGAGGGGATTATAAAATACTGCTAACTTATATTTTTATACCCGTTACTCGTAGAGTAAAAGGGTATATTGTATTCGTGCAAATGTATGTAACAGCTATTCTTGATCAGGGTCACCAGCCGACTCGATATAGCCATGTCCGACTGTCTGTCCGTATGAACGCTGAGATCTCGGAAACTACAAAAGCTAGAAGGCTGAGATTTCCCACACATATTCTTGGGCTTCCTACGCAGCGCAAGTTTATTTCAGCCGAGCGCCACGCCCACAGTCGCCCACTAACGATTTTAAACTGTGTCTGGCGCCCACATCTTTAAAGATTTACGAGAAGTATAAATGCAATTTTGTTGTGTATATTTATACCTATCGAAATGTAGAAGAAATTTTTTAAATCGGACCATTAATTAAAAAGTTATGCGCAATCAAAATTTTATGTATCCATCTGCCTAGATACCGACTATACCGTTCTCTCTTGCTTACCTCTTCATAGGCCAACTTATCCGCCAAGGACCGCAAACTGAAAGTCCTAAAAGCCGAGCTAAGTGCCAGGGAGGCAGAAGAAAAGTCCGAAAAGGAGAAGCTGGAGGAGATGCGGCTTAATCTGGCGATGACCAAAACCCAACTGCTGGAGGAGAAGAAGCACAAGCAGAAGCTCCTGGAGGAGCGTCAGTTGCTGGAGCAAATGCATTGCTATTCGGCACCCGCCCAACTGCCAAGGACTCTGGGTGCTGGCTTCAAGATGGTCAGTAGTTTACTCTAGGTAATACCATCAATAAGTTCCTACTAATGATATCTGTAAGATGTAATAAAAAAACTGCATAAATATTTTACAAAATAACCTATTTTTAATTGTTTCAAAGATGTAAAAGATACCTTAAAGATAGTGGATCTGTGACAACCAATCTTTGTCAAGGCAAACACTCATTTGGATTAGCTTTATCCTCGCAGGTGGACGTAAAGTCGAAAACGTTATCCATGCACTTATCATCGATGGTCTTGGGGATGTAAATCTTAAAATCCCTCCTACCAATGAAGGACTCTTGATTCTTTTGATGCTGTAGGCGCAACTGTTTCTGGAAACCCTCTATCAGGTTTTCCCGGGCCTTGAGATCGATGTCGTTGATCCGAAGCTCGGCTTTCATGGCCTTCAGCTGGCGGATCTGGCGGCGATTGATGCGCTGCTGGACGCAGAGCTTCTGGCGGACACTGGGATCGGGCAGGTTCCTGATCTGCCGCTTGAACTCCTCATGGACGCGAAGTAACTCCTTCAACTCCTTGGCCTTATTTTCCCTCTCTACAGACAATCGAATGTTACGCTTCAGCAGATGCTGATTCTTGCGTATCAGCTCGAAATGTCGCGGATCCTTGCCCAGCAGGACTCGCCAGCGATGGATGCGACAGGGGCGCGACAGCTCCTCCGAGTAGGCGGATACTTTGAGCCTCTCCCGGTTGAGCTGGCGCTCCAGTCGGATCACATCATGCCGCATGGCCGCCTTGTTGCCCACCTCACGTTGCATGCACTCGTGCGATGAACGCAGATTCACCACCTCCACCTTGAGCAATCGAATGTCCTCCAGCCTCTGGTTGTACTGCATCGTCCCGCGATCGATGACCTTCTGCATCATATCCAATTTCTCCCTCAGCAGATGCACCTCATCATTCCTCCTGACCATTTGCAGGCCCACCAGACTCTTCTCCTTGGTCACCTCGTCCAAAGCACAGGCCATCTGCTTGAAGCGCTTCTCATCGGTGTCAATCGTGTGCTGAGCCTGCTCCACCCTGATCTTCATTTCCCGCAGATCGCTCCGTGTGCCGGCCAACAAGCGACCCTTGGCGTGGATCTCGTTCTGCTTCTGCTTCACGGTGCGGTGCAGCTGCTCAATCTGGTTGCCCAGCGAGGAGATCTCCTTCTCGTTGAGCGCCAGTGCGCTGGTCATCTGGTTGATCTGGTGCGTCAGCTTGGTCGCATTGTTCTGCAGCGTGGAGCGATCCCGCGAGCACATGTCCATCGTCTTCATCAGCATCACCTTCTCCGAGTGGATGTTCTCCATTTGCTTCTTGACGTTGATGAAATCCAGCTGCTTTTGCTGCAGTTCTACTTGGAGGGACTCTAATCGCTCTGTTTTCTGGGCAAGGGATTCTGGAAAGATGCATTTAAAATGAGGAATGGTTTTTCTTTTTCTACCCGTTACTCGTAGAGTAAAAGAGAGATCTTGGAAACTACAAAAGCGAGAAAGTTGGGATTACCCACAATTATTCTGGGGCTTCCTACGCAGCGCAAGTTTATTTCAGCTGAGCGGGACGCCCCCTCTAACGCCCACAAACGATTTTACAATGTGTCTGGCGCCCACACCTTTAAAGATTTCGGAGAAGTACAAATGCAATTTTGTTGTGTATATTTATACCTATCAAAATGTAAAAGAAATTTTTTGAATCGGACAATTCGTTAAAAAGTTATGCCCGATCAAAATGTTATATCTCCATTTCAGTCGCACTCCCTCTAGCTGAGTAACGGTATTAGATAGTCGGGACACCCACCCGACTATAGCGTTCTCTCTTGTTCTTTTTAGGAGTACCCACCCTCGATGCCATCGATCTTCTTGTAGGCATCATTCAGCTCCAGGCTCTGCTCCCTCTTTTCACGGGCTATTTTCTGCACCTGCAAGTCCTTCTCGTCCAGCTGCTTGTTGGCCCGATGAAGGTCGTTCTGCAAATCCTGCATCTGGTGGCGCACAATGGCGATTTCGTGTCGCACTCCGGCCACTGTATCATTAAGACGCGTTATCTCGATCCTCAGCTTGTCCCGGTAGCGACCCATTTCCTCCTTCTGCCGGATGACCTCGTCCAGCTTGGCCGAGGTCATTAAGATCTTCTTTTCCAGAACCTTGATCTCATTTCTACACCCAAAGAAAATTTGATATAATACGTAGATCGATTTTACATTATTTAAGATCAATTTTAATTTGATATGCGGCCAGGTAAATTTGACTTGGTCAAAAAGAGTATTTCATGTAAAAACGATATGTATGAAATCGATTTTACGGGAACATGTTTTTTTTGTGTGTATATAAAAAGAGTTTTTCTTAGAAATTCCAGAAATATTATCAACACTTACCGATGAACCACGGCTTGATCGTTGAGCTCCGCGTTCTTCTTGGACAGCTGGTGGAATCGTCGCTCCAGGATCATCGAGTCGTCCGCCTTCTTCTTCACCTCCCGCTCGGCTGCGCGGCGTGAGAGATCCAGATCAGCATAATCCCTTCGCTGGGCATCATTGAATCCCTCGACCATCTTGAGATTCTGCTGCAGCTTGAGCTTCTCCTCCTCCTGCAGGCGAAAGGACTTGGCGAAGTTAAAGTTCTCCCGCTGGAGACGTTCGTTGCGCTGCTTCAGTGCCTCGTTGGCGGTCATTAGCTCTTGCAGCGTCTTCTCGGCCACCTGGAATTCCATGTTTTGCTGCACTACGCATGCCAGCTCCTTGTTGACCTGCATCAGTCGTTCCTCGTACTTGTCCGTCTCCACAGTTATTTTGTGCTCCAGCCGATAGTTCTCACTTTCGATTTGCTTCACCCGCGAACTTAGTTTGCTGACCATTTCCCTAGATGATTCTATCATCCCCTCCAGCGATTCGGAGTACAGGCGATTGGTTTGCAGGCGCTTCTGGTAGTCCTTCAGCTCGAGGGCCAAACGATCGCGCTCCTTGAAGACCAAGCGCTGCAGATGGGTTTCCTTGCTGCAAAAATAAAGGGTTTTTTAACCTTAATTAAAATAATTACACAAATAAATAATTAAATAAATAAATAAATAAATTAATTAATTAATAAATAAGTAAATAAATAAATAAATAAATACAAAAATAAATGAATAAATACAAAAATAAATAAATAAATAAAAAAATAAATAAATAATTAAAAAAAGAATAAATTAATTACATATATTTAATTAAAAAGGTAGATAAACTCACATAGTGGTTGGCATCTGATCGTGCATCACCCTGCTTGTCGTCGATGGATCGGCTTGCACCAGTGCCATCAATTGCATCTGCATGGTCTCCTCACGACTCTTGGTTGCATCCTGGTTGCGCCACGACTCCTCCAAGGACTCGCGCAGGTGCTCCATCATCGCCTCCGAGGTGGCTGTCGTCCTCAGCGCCAAATTAAGCTTCTCATCGGCCGTTTTCATTTTCAGTTGTAGCGCCTTATTTTGCTCCACCTCGTTGAGATAGTGGCCATGAAGTCTGGAGAGGATGTCCGCGTACAACTTAAACTTGGCTGCCAGGAAAGGATTGCGGCTGCTGAGACTCTGGACCAGCTGGTTGGAGTTGGCGAAGAACATATCGTCAAGATCGGTCACCAGATTTATCTGAGCAGGGTCTATGCTATCCCTAAAGCGTTCCTCGAAGTTCAGCACGGAAACGGACTTGGAGTGAACGGAGGCGATCTTATGGATCTTGGAGGACTTCATCTTGGGGGTATCAATCAACGGTTAACAGGGATAACAAAGAAATCCTCGAGAAAACCAAACAAAAAAAGAATTAAAAGTAAACAGAAAAAAACAAAGTGTTTCAGTGTGACGTCTAAGTGTAATACATAGTGATCATGAGAAATAGAAAAAACAAGTTGATTTGATTGATTTTTATTTAAGCATAAAATTGCGTATATATCTTAAACTCAATATACAGATTTCTCGTTTGTTACACTCTTTATACAAGTTTGAATCAGAAAATATATATATATATATGTTTATCTTTAGTGGTAATGAAGTTGTTGTTATTATTGTTGAAATTCAATTTAAGGATTTCATCTTGCCACATACATATCTACGTACTTATTTATTTATTCCAGCTAGGGTCAGATAGAAACGATTTAACATAGGCGAATTAATACATATTAAATTACGATAAATCACAAAAAATGTTTCGCAAAAATTTCTGCTACAATTAACGGCTACTAATCAGCATGATACTCAACGCTAGAAAAATATACATTTATCAATATCTCTAACTGCAATATATAGTTAAGGCCTTGGCTAGTGACAAACGATTTTGCAAAGTTAAAGCTTACGCGTAGAAATTAAAAGGTGCCTCCCTAAGCCCCGAAAAAAACGAAAACGAAGAACAGAAAACAAAATGTGATATTCTTAAAAATGCAAGCTATCCTTTGATATGAACAAATGTCGTTTTAGTACAGACGCTTAGAGTTGGTCATTGTTTTGGAAATAAAAAATATATATAGCTATTGGTTATATATATATTTAATATATATACGATCTATATGCGCGAGCCCTGGCTGTGGTCATGTGGCCCCCTTGCATGGGATTGGGATTATCATTAGGATTAGGATTACGTATAAAATAAAGAAAACAATGTTTGCGGAACAATTGCGATTCACAGTTTGCTTTTCCTCCATTTTGGTCGTCAGCTGCGCCGGCTAGCGCCATTGGCCAATCCTAAGAGGCGGAGGCCTGGACGCTCTGGACACTCTGGACTCCCTGGACGCCGACGCCCTGGATTCCCGAGCGCACCTCGCGCACATAGCAATCGCGGCAGACGCGCACCGCCTTGGTCAGTCCGTATTTAGGTAGCGGAGCTGAGGCATTCGAGCAGACGCCGCAAAAGACGCCGCCGCAGTTGCGACAATGGTGACGCCGCCGGAAGGCAGTGAAGGGCGTCTGGCAGGCCATGCAACGCGGTGCCTTGCCGTCGGGAATCCAAGCGGGCGGCGACAGTGTGGCCGACGAGGGCATCTGGGTTTCGTTGTTGCTCTGCAGGCGCCGGCGACTGCCGCTCCTTGGGGCGCTCACCGGGGAATTCTGCTCGGAGCTGGAGCTCGTGGAGGAGGCGCTGGAGGGCGTGTTGCTGCCCACGGAATTGTTGCGCTGCCGCTGCAGCTGAATCTGCAACTGCTGCTGCTGCTCTTGCTGCTCCTGCTGACGCAAACTGGCTACCGAACTGGCCGCCTCCTGATCCCCGAGACTCCGGCTGCGCGTCACATGTGATCGGCTCGTAACCATCGCTGCTCCACTGGGACTTCCTCCTTCGCTAGCAGGCTGACTCGCCAGATCGATGGTATTATTTCGCTGCATACTGGCGCCGGCGGAATGGCGCTGGCCAGTGGCCTGACCACCACCGGCGCTGAACACATTGTCCAGCTCGGGATTCACCTCCTCCGCTGAGTAAATGCTTTGGTTGGAGCCGGCGCTCTCCTGTATCACATCGTTCTCGGAGGCCCGGAACTCGAACAGCTCCGACTCCTTTGTCTTTTCCGGTATGTCGATCTCCTCCTGGGCGGACGACATGTTCATGAGGAACACGCTGCGCAGAATCTGGCGCAGATCGGAGGCGAAGTTCGTTTGCAGCTGGTCAGCAACGCCGGCGATGCAGACAAACAGGCGGTGCAGCAGGTTCTCGGTGCTCCTGGTAAATGGAAAATGAATTAGTTATAGTGTTTCAATTTAAAAGCATAACTTAACTAAGCTTCAAGGTATTTTCAAAACTAAATATAATCTTGGCTTCTAACTTTTAGCTGTGTGAAGGTTCTTTGAATAACATAGCGATAATGCTTTAATTATGTTTCTTGAGTAAAATTATCAGCTTTTATATATACATAAATGGTTACTTTATGAGCAATCAAATACCACATATAATAATCGTATTCTTAGAACAGTTTAATTAATGACTCATTAAATGCTATAAGTATAGGCAAACAAAATCTATTTCACCTTCAAGAAATAATAATGCCGAGTTGAAGGCAAAGAAACTACAGTTACTTAATTAGAATCCTAGTTTTTAATGTATTTAATAACCCCCACTCACTTGAACTTGAGCCGCGCCGTGGTGTTGCGCATGGCCAGCGACACGTCGTCCGAAAGCGAGGAGGCGGCACTGGTATCGCCGCTGGCCAGGTTCTGCTCCCTCTCCGGCTGACTGGCCTCCGCCTCCGGCGCCTCCAGGCTGCAACGCTTGCGACCACTGCGCGTTGTGCGATGCGGATGGGGATGCGTCTGCCGGTGGTGGTGCTGCTGATGTGAGTGATGCTGGTGATGATGATGGTGGTGCTGGTGGTGATGGTGGTGCCGTTGATGATACCGCTGACTGTGACGTCCGCTGGACAGGGCTGGCTGCTGCATCTGCTCCTCGGACGCCTTGATTGTCGTGGGCTCGGCCAGAGGATCGGTGCTGTCGCTGCTGGGCAGGCGCAGCCGCTGCAAAGTGCGGGTGGCCGCCAGCATGGCAGCACTGGTGCTGGGCTCCTCCTCCTCCTCCTCGGCGGCGCGACCCTGGTGCTGCTCCCCCGTTCCGTACTCGTCATCTTCGCTGGCCACGAAGTTGTCCGTGAGAGGAACCTCCTGGGGCTGCAGCAAATTCCCTAAATTGGTGTTGGGTATGAGGTAACCGGAGGCACAGTCAGCGGCCACAATGTCCTTGAGCAGCTGCTCCTCGTCCGTGTCATCGTCGCTGCTTTCTAGATCCTCCTCATCCTCATCGATATCCTCGTCATCCTCGTCCTCCTCATCATCGCCATCGCTCCAGTCCGCCGGGGGATTTGTGGAGCTGGTGGCCGCCGATGAAGTGGAGGCTATCGAGTGCGAGGGCGTGGGCGAGGGGGCGGGCGAGGCGGTGGGCGTGCTGGTGGGCGACAGCGACAACATGGACGGAGAGCGCAATGTAGCTTCCTCCACGACGGGAGTGGTACTAATGTTGCTATTATTGTTGTTTCGCTGATCCACCAGCCGCTCCACAGTCCTGTGCGTATTCGTTGTCCCCGTGGTTGCTGTGGTGGTGGCTGTGCTACTGATGTTGTTGTTGGTGTGGTTTTGACTGCTGCTCGTCGTAGGATTGGAGCTGTGCTCCGGACTGGGCGCCTCAATGCTGCTGGAACCAAGGGGCACCTGTTATAAAAATAAAAAACAAATTTAATATACAATTTCCAGTTGATAAAAGTCCAAACTAGAGCCCTGCGTGAATCATTCAATTTTTGTTTTATAATAGTATGCCATAAAATTTCTAATTTGTTTAATTCAATTCTATGTAAAATAAATTGAATGATTTTCTAATTCATTTCGAATTGAATGAATTTTTTAATTTGTCATATTTTTTTTGTGCAAGAACAAGAAATGGAAAATTTTTAAAAAATCAATGTTAGCTGCATAAAAAATATAATTCAGGCAGATTTAATCACAAAATTATGGGCTTTTCTTCTTCTAAAGAAATTGTCGTTTAAAATATTTCGGAATATATTAAAATCATTCTAATTTATTCATTCATATAAAACAAAAAATTCAAAGTAATTCATTGAATCCATTCATGCAAAGCTCTAATCCAAACCCACCTTAGTGTTGATATCCTCATTGGTGCACAGCAGCTTCTCCAGCTGATACAGTTCCTGGTTGTTGAGGTTGCGCAGGAGATCGCGAATCTTGATGAGAATGGTGCGGAAGGGACGGAACATCTCGGAGAGCTGATCACCGGGCATATCCATGTTAAGTGGTCCCTTGGCATAGACCACCAAACCGGCAACAATGGCCAGCCGCGGAATGGAGAACATCAGGCCCGGATCGAAGGCATCCACCATGTCCTGGTCGAGCAGTCCGATCTTCAGAGCTCGCTGCAGTGTCTCCGAGAAGAGCACACCTATCCACTGCTGCATCTCGTACTCATGACGCGACTTCACCTGCACCATGGCGCTCACATAGCTCAATTCGAACTCGGCAAAGAGTCGGTCGAAGATCTTTAGACTCTCGTACAGCTGCTCAGTGGTGGAATCATTCAGATCCAGATGCAGTGTCTTGCTATTCGGTACATTGTTCTTCAGACACTGATCCCTGAGCAGCACACGCACATTGCCCAGGCTCTTGGTCACCGCCTGGGCCAAGGGGCGCATCTCCTTGCTCTCCGACTCCCGGTTCATGATCGAGGACCCAGCCGCCAGGCACTCGGCGCCGAACCACAGCTGCCCGGCCAGATTCTCCTGCAGCACCTCCTCGGGAAACTTGGCGCGAAAGGCGCGAGGATCGCGATCTTCGCCGAGCAGCTCCTCCATTATCAAGTTCGTGATGGCCAGCACTTTGTCCTAAGGAAATAAACATACGTATTATTATTATATTTCATTATATTATTCTTGAAAACCCACCTGATTCTGTCGCAATCTGCTGACCAGTCTGGTGCATCTATCCGGTTCCGCTCGTCCATCGAAGCTGTCCAATTCGCTGGCCACCGCTGTGAGGGATCGATCCGCATGAAAGAAGCGGGCCAGCAGTGATTTGTCATCAGCCTGTAAAAATAAAATGGAGATGCAATTTGGATGAGTAACTGGTCGTAGATAAGCGGTGACCCCTTCCCGGTTTCCCCCAACGGCTTATCGCTTTGCCAAGTGCAACAAATTATTATGGGCAATCTCGCTGAACTTGAGGGATCGTGTGAGAAATGCAGTGGGTAGTGGGTTGTGGGGGTTATGGGATTGGGTTGTACATGGCCGATGGCCGAAAGGCGATAAGAATGACTCAACGAGCCACTAAACACGTAGAAGCTATCATCCAGTCACACAGACGACCGGCTGAATTAGCACCACTAATTTTCGTTGATTTCACAACAGATCCACAAATCACGTATGTAAATATTGGGGACTTACACTGTTGTTCGCAATAATAAATCACACTTTGCGATAAGAACGAGAGTACCGAAATAGATTATTTTGCAATATTTATTTTAGCAAAATGGGTTTTTATAAATTCCACACCCAGAAAAAAAAATGACCTAAAATGTCAAAAAATGGCCTAGAACTTAGGTAAAATTGGCCTAAAACTGGAGCTAAGTCCTTGAATGGCCTAAAATTTAGGATTGTATAACCTAAAATGTTAGGCCATTAATGGCCTAAAATGGGGTAATTTTTGGCCTAGATTTTAGGTAATACGCTGCCTTAAAATATGAGAAAACCCCTATCCAAAATTTTAGGCTTTCTTTGGCCTAAAAATTTGTACTGAAAAATGTTTCATATTATAAAGTAAATACAGAGAAATTTATAGCTAACTCGAGGTCAGTGTCGGCTTAGTCTTCAAGAAGTCGTCATTATTCCAACACACAAAAACGAGCGAAGAGGCTTCACTGTTCAGCAGTGAAATCGCTGTTTTATTCAACGATCGAAGTGGGTTACCATGCAAGCCGCGCTATAACTGGTTGGGAATTATAGCGTCGCTAGAACGGTATCACAGTTCCGTGCAAATTTTTTTAGGTAAAATGCATTAATTTTAAGGCCTACGATGACCTAAAATATTAGGCTATACGGGACCTAAATAGTAGGGCAAATATACCAAAAATTAAAATTTTTAGGCAGTACATGACCTAAAAATGAACTTTTAGTCCATTTAAAATGTTTTAGGCTATGCATGACCTAAAATGTTGTCCATCATTTTTCTGGGTGCATAGGGAATTAATAGAATGTTATAGGTAAAAAATGTATTCTACAAATAAAATAGGATTTATTTAAATGAATAAAAACATTACCCATACGCAGAGTTGTCCTGGCCTATTTTTTATTTCACTGATATAATTTAATGATGATAATAAACTTTTAACTTTTTTGGCAATTACTTTATATTTTATACAAAATATTTTAAATTTAGTTCTATTACTACTCGTTTGATCGCCGCTATAAGATCACTACCATTGATGTCGCAATCTATGCTGTAAGCTGATACTACGAATAACAATTTTATGCCTCATATAAGAAACAGCAAAGAGGAAGCCTACCTATCGAGATGATGCAATCTTAGATGAGCTTTTTCCCATCCAACATGCAACAAGTGGGTTTGCTGGGCTGCAAGTGTGCCTGAAATCTCAATGATCCATTAAATCACGTGGCTCTACTTAAGCGGGGCTGCCAACCCCAACAAATCGCACGAGATTCAACGGACAAAATAAAAATAAAGAAGAGGGAAGAGTACGGAGGAGACCCAGGCGATAAAGCAAGTTATCGGCGGCTGAACTTGTTTTCACCGGGCTTTTGTGTGAGTTGTTCAGTTGAGTTGAGTTCAGTTGTTTCAGTGTTTCGCATATGTGCTCTGCTTAAATATTGAAAGCGGCAAGAGCAGCTAGCAGCTGGCCGTGGTGGAAAGGAAACAAATGCACGAAACGAAATGTGTTTATTATAAAGGTAAACACGTCGGGTCCGAGAGTCTCAAAAGCGTTGACTCCCCGCCTCAAAACTCAAAACTGAAAACTGCGCAGTTTGGCAGGTTTATCGCTGGGCTGTGAGTTAGTGAGTAGTCAATTCAGTGAGCCGGAGGTTCGAGGTGTTTGAGGAAACTTTAACTCACATTCGAATACGAGTATACTATATAGCTTGTATAGCTGGCGAATTGTTCAAGGGAAATTTGTGCCACAACAAAGGCTAATTACAATACTAGTTGGATTTCCACACGGAGAAAAAGTCATGGAATATTAAAAATCTTAGAAATAATAATTTATTTTTAAATGATTTCAGATTTATCAATTAATTACTCATAGATAACATACACTTTATAGACCAAAATTGAAAATATTTTGTATTACACATTTTGAGATGGCTAATAATATTTTCAACATTTTATTTACATTTAAAAAAGTTAATAAATGCATTTATTACACAGTAAGAAATTTATTTTGAATTTATCAGTATTTTCGAATTTTTTCTCCGTGCAGTTACGCCATGAAATATGAAAAAGTAATAATGATTCCATATGAGCCAATGCAAGTGAGTGGTCATGAATGAATCACCCCACGCGATTCGACGAATCGATGCAGAATATCGTATTCGTTTTGTTTCTTTTACATTTCGTCATAGGCCCAAGGGTAAAGTTTGTTTTCCTTTTGTTGTTTTGCCATTTGTTTACACAACAATTAAATGGGCAAAGCTCTAAAAATGTTTGAGGTTTATTTTGGCGTGTGTTTTGACTCTCTGTTTTTTTAGACTTTATGGGGAATGGCAAAGCCATAGCCGTAGCAGAAGCAGAAACGAATAAGAAATCTAATTGAGAATTATAAATTATATAAATTGAGCAAGGCCATGCGTAAATAGTTCAATGACTGCCCAAGAAACCACCTCTGCCTGCCCCCCCGTGGAATTCCCGTTCTCGTTCCCATATTCTGATATTCTGTTGGCCGTCATGACGACGCTGGCCAAAACGTTGTCGACGCCAGCCACTTTTTGTAAGTGCCAGTCGTCGTAGCCATTAATTAGCGTCGCAATTTGGAAACCAACTGGTTGTGAGAGGGGTTAGGATCGGAGGTTCTGGAAGTTCCATATATGAAATGGCTCCATATAAAGTGGATAAGGAAAGAACGCCTTTAGTTGATAAGAAAAAGAAATAATTCCTTTAATATCTGGGGGGAACTAACTATAATACCATGTTTAAGAAATTCTAATTTATTTAAAGTATTTATGATAAGAAATATTATTATTATATTTTCGAAATATATTTAACCTTTAATAGCAAAGACTCCTTAAAGCCGTGTCACAATATTCCGCACCGTTAAGCGGCATTTACTTAGCCTTGAAGTTAATAATGAATTATTATCAAAAGCCATTTACATGCCTCATAAATACATAAAATATTTAGCTAAATCCCAAATGTAATTAAAGAGTTAAAAACCCCGGCAACAGCGGCTGACAAAAAGGCAAAAGTTAAATGGTAATTAAAAATTTTAAGCTTGTTTCGAGCCAAGCTAAACGAGGAGCAGAAGTTTGGGGGAGGAGACGAGACTCCAAGGATTGCGATGGCACTTCTTGCGAAGCTAAAACGTATATATAAATTTTGGCCAACAAGAGAGGAAATGAAGCTTCGTGATTTATTCATTGCGAATCGCAATCACAACGAGCCACTTGAATATGGAAAATGTTTGCAACAGTCGTGATAAAATATTAGGTACCTTTATTTGCACTTTATATTCAGGTAAGTTTAAATTCAGGTAGAAAGAAGACAAACATTTGAGAAATTGATTGGCAGTGCGAAGTGTAGCAAAACAGCATTTGTTGTTAGCAGCAAAAGTTCTTTGACACTGTTTACCCCGTAAAACAGACCACACCTTTGGATTAATATCTGTGACTTTGTTAATATATCTGAGCACATTTGTGTTTATCCACCAAGCTATACATATTTGCATAACGCCCGGCTGGAAACTGCCTTTGTCAAGTATTTTAATTGTTGTTTCAACTGGTTTGTGTTCAATCAGCTAATTAAGGGTGAGTAACCCCTCCCCTCATCTGTGAGCAAGTTGCTGTTTACGGACGATAACAGAAACACCATATAGACATCTAGAGATATAGAGTCGTATCACACATATGGAGGTGAAACCAAATTTGCTGCTCAACTCGATGATGTGGGTGAGAACCACTTTCAATTCCAGCTGAGAAAGAAAACAAATTGCGTCTAAGTGAACACAAAACGCAAATCATAAGGGGAAGTATTTACGGTTAAAGCCGTCCATTAAGAGCAATGAGATATTATGAGTTTAACTTTCTAATTGCAAAACGAATAAATGAATATTAAATATGGAAATACAGGCGAAAATTGTAGGAGACAAAAAGCTGGTCCATAAATATGAGAAGTTTTTAAGAGGCCCAAACGGCAAACTAAGTATTTTATGACTTGAGATAACATTAAAACCCATTTAAGTTTTCTTTATTATTTTTAACAATAAGTGAGCCCACTTTGTTAAATAAAGAGGTCATGTAAAGAAATTTAACAGACACGAGTTGACTAATTTTAAGTTAAAAAGTAATACATTTTACTGAGAATCTAATAATTTATACAAAATGAAAATTAAATTATTATTCAGCTCAAAACGGTAATTTTCTGTGATTTTCAACAACTGACCATAAGGACATCTGCCTGACGTCACAGATGTCCGTAGTGGTGACCTCGACACGCGCAACAGGCGGCTGGTTTTTCCACCCCTTCGCCACCCCAGTTATCCTTGAGGGCAGCCAACGGCAAGGACACGCAGGCGAGACAGGCTGACAGTGTATCTATGCGAATATCTGAATATCTGGCCTTATTGCCCCCAAGGCTTTTTGCACTCGAAGGACCAAAGGCAGGACGAGTTTGCTGACGCAAAGGACTCGGCTGAAACACACGCACTTGACATTGAATATTTTTCACTTTTTGACAGCTGTTGGCTTCGTTTTAATTTCAATTAGACATTCGCCAATTGAGAACAACAGTGTCTAAAAATGGCCAATGAGGTGAGTCGCAGGCCAAGTGTCACGACCCCCGTAACGATTCAATTTGGCACCAC